CGGCAAATACCAGACGACCAAGCATAGCAACAGCTGCTGACGCTGCAGTATAAAGGTTACTGCTCTGTATGTTTTTGCGTTATAATGTTTATCTTTTAACCGTCAAATAATATTAAGATTATAAGCGATAGGAGCGATGTTCCCTTGACCTCGAGAATGACCGTTCGTCTGGCTACTGAATACCCCGCGTGCGAAGTATCTTCACACTGCTTACAGGCAAACAATACGCACTAAAGCGAGGCCCAAATTAGGGGTGTCAGTTTCTTATTCGTTTTATTCATCAAGTATTTTGTATTAGAAGAAAACTTCGTAGCCGATCACAACGGCCGCGCTATCTAAGGCATGAACTGTCTTCGCTCGCTCGAAATCTGGGATCGTGGGTTTGAATCCCACTCGATGCATGGATGTCTTTGTGCGTTTATTCTGTTTGTCTTGTTCCGTGTGTAGGTAGCGGCCTTGCGACGGGCAGAACCCCCGTCCAAGAAGTCCTACCGTCTGTGTATAGGATTAAGAAACTGAAAAAGCGGCCAAACAGAGGGCTGTAGAATCATAGATATAAATATAAAACTTCTCATACATTAGTCGGGCGTAACATGCAGGTAAAGAGAAACAAGGATAGTTGGATAGAAGCAACGCGAAACAGAAGGATAGGTGCTGTATACTATGTTTGAAAGTAACAACATAAAATCCTGTGTTCGAAGATTCTCGATGTTATTACGTTATTAGAAGTGAGTGATTTCTCAAGACGCTTTGTTCGAACCAAGAAAAAGGTACTGTTTGATTCCCTAGAATAATATTTCTAACTAAATTTGTAATAGAGCGACAGAAGCAGGTCTCTGTTTGCTAACTGCTTCCTGATGTTTCCTTGTTTGTCTTATTTTACGACTCTGAAGACGGTGGCGACCTCTTCCTCCGAAACGTAGGCCGATTTTCAGCGACCTACACAGAATTACATGTATCCAGAGGACAGAACTGTTCATTTTCACAATTGTGTGCTAATGTAATATGGTCGTTGTCGGAACAAGTGGCTCAAAACATCGGTGTAATGGATTGTGGAAGTTTAAATCCACGCTCCGCCTACGTTTTCCCTTTGTGGTGTTAGGTGTGTGGGTAAGGCTGCCTTTTCTTCATAGTTCAACGTAACGGTCCAGACACAACTACTGCCCGATGCACAACATTTGGTGTCTCTCTCTGGTAACTAATGGGCACACGGTGGCGTGGTTGGTTCAGACACTATGCTACAAGGCGGAAGGTAGCGGATTCGATTCCCCATGAGATCACTTGATTTTTCAATTGATCTAATCCTTCCAGCTGCACTATTGCCCTGGGCTAACGGAAATGAGTACCAGGAATCTTCTTGGAGAGTAAAGGGCGGCCGGCGCGTAAGACTGGCCTTACCGTCATCTATGAGCCTATTGCCTAGAAAATGTGGGAAACTCAACATTTCACAACCCTGTGGGCCTCCACGGCCTGTTACAGGGATACCTTTACTTTACTTTTACTCTAGTAACTAGACTTGAGCCTAGTTATAGAATCTGAGATTCTCACAGCTATGGTTACGATGATATAACACCGTGTAATCCGTTGGAAATCAGCCTACATGTTCCTCCGAAACTTCGGTTGATGTCCGACGGGCTGTAAGACGTTATATCGCAGAAGATTGAACTCTTAAGCCTAGTAATGTTACGCACGAACCGTGGCGTCACCACCAATTAGACTCTGTTTGGTCGTGACGCTATGGTTGGTGCGCAACTTGCTTCGCAGGTGTGTGATTCAGTCCTTGATAAATATTTTCGAATACTAATGGCAAACGTGACAGCTGTCGAAAAGTTGCGTCTTGCTTGATGTCAACAACTGTGTCCGCTACCACCTGCATCATGTGACCGATGGTGGCTGTCCGTCATACATGCATTCGTAATCGCCATCCCCCCCCCCAACTCTGCCTACCAAGTCAATGCAAAACAGGTACAATGTTCAAACATGTATTCATGGCACAGTTCCTCCCTCGTACAGATCGCCTTGAAAGAAACAAGGTTAGTATAATTTACAGTGCATCAGGTTAGATATCAGTCCCAGTCTGATGTTTGGCCATCTTTGTCTCGAACTGGTAGAACAACTGAAATATCTTAAACATTTTCATGTAAGGGACCCGTGTGAGATCTGCCTTTTTCACTGATGTGCATACGAGGTTATGGTCCTAATGTTTGTCACCTGCGGATGGTTACAGAATTTTCTGAAGAACTCATCGCCTCCATCTGTCTGGATGTGGTGGAGGCCCCTTTTCTCGACGATACAAAACATGGCTTTTTCCTCACTTTCCATCGTCATTTGAAGGGGCCCTCATCAGGGTCGGCATTTTTACTGTTCTCAGTTCAAACTTTCCTCCTGTGAGAAAGAGGTACGGTGGCGGAAAAAACGGCCGTTTTCATCCATTGTTCTCATAATTTTACTTTCCTCCTAAAAACGATGGTGGATCTCCTATCTTTGAAGAATATGATCACCTCCATTGTAACCTGCCTTATCTACCAAGTCTATTCCTGAACCTACGTGTTCCTACCCTGAAGATGGAGGCAGCATGTTAATCCGAATCTTCCATAAAAATCTACGGTGTCATAACCCAGTAGACCTTATAACCCTTGTAGTGATAAATCAAACCTTGCATGAATTATTCTCATTCTCAGAGTTTATACGGGGTGCTGCATAAAATGAAGTAGTATTTCAGTTTCTCCCAGCAGTGACTGTGAAGAGTTCTGTCTTCTCGGATATAACACATTGTAATCTCATGAAATTCAAGTGACATTTCGTGGAAATAGAAATCAACAGACGTTTTTGCGGAGGATGCAACCTCCTTGTCCGCGGTCGAATAGTAAGCCAAGCAAGAAACTAACACGAAGCTTGCTGCATGTTTCAGCCCCCAAAGACATGTAGTTGCTCAATGAGCACTATTGTTACCATGTTGCTATGTAGTTACAGGGTCATTCATTCGAATGACTTCTCGAAAGAGTTGTTAGAAATCAAGCTGTAATTTACCGATGAAAACGAAACTTGGTGTATACGTACCTCGATAGATGTAGAAGATGCTGAAGTTGGATTCCTCCCGCATAGAGACGCAGGCCGACACGGTGCTCTATATTCACGAATGTTTTGCATATCAAATTGGATTCCACCAATTGCAGGCAGGCAAGTATCGGGTTTAATTTTCGTGAAATACACAGTGTTTCCAAGCTTAGTCTTAATCTGTAAATGTTTTCTTGCTTTATAATTATTAATTTTAGGCCTCCTGGGTGAATCATCCTGTATTCACAACAAGCGGACAATTGCTCGTTGCCCTCTGTTCGGGAACAGAGTGGAAAGTTGTTTTGCATGTTCGCGGTCTGCATATATTTTGAGGGACTAGAAATTTGTTGTTATTACACATCATTCATACGATTTTATAGTTTTGCTTTTTATTACTTCTTCATAGACTTTATTGTAGTTGCTAATAATTTAAATGTCATTTCAGAAAATAAACGGCACATAAAACATAAGAAGATAGATTTATGGTTGTAGTTGTCCTCATTTTTATGAAGGAGAGATGACACTAGAAGAAACACTTATTTTCTACTTATGTTTCCTCATGTAATTCAATTAGTAGGAAAACAGAAGAGCCTTTTTATTAGCTTATTACATATATTTTATAATTTAAAACCTTGACCACAAATTCACATGAGCTGTGGCGAGAATCAATAATAGTTACATTCTCGTAATCATTTCTTTGTTTTCTTTAGACTACGTGCGTCGAAGTTAACGCAAATAGGACTCTTCATAATTATGTGTTTGCATGTTTCAACTGGAAAACCGCTGGGATGAATAGTGTGCATACTGTGCTAGTGGGGGCTGCCAAAACTCGTAGTTCTTAACGTCCTGCAGTCACTAATACCAATATTGCGGACGCACGAATTTATGAGCTGGGAGCACCACCAGCGCCACAAAATCATGACATCGCAAAAAAAAAAACTCCGTGGTTTTTAGTCCGCAAGTGAACTGTACCGACCGAGCGACCGCCGCTTGTCCTAGAAGTTAGTGTCAACTTTAGAGGATAGAGGGTCACCTCAACGAATCCCTACGGCAGTTAATTTCGGTTTCCTAGACCGGAGCCGATATTTCCTTGAAGTAGCCCTCAGTTATCCTGACGAGGCTGAGTTGGCCCTGTTCCAGACCCACTACTTCTAAAAAAATCTGGCAGCGCCGGGAATCGAACCCGTACCTCTGGATCTGTATCTAGGAACTCTGACCACTAGACCACAGAGGCGGTCTATGAATTATCACAGACCTTTCAAAACTATGCAACCTCTGTTAAGTAACGCCTAAATGAAGTCAATATGCAGCTATCTGTTGAGTTGCTTTAACTAATGAACAATTAGTTTATTTTACATGATATATATCCATCATCAGTGCAACTCGGTATAGTCACTTTACTTCGTTCACAACATGTTTCAGCCGTACACGGCCTTCAGGTGTCTACCACTGTGCTAAACTGCTGCACTACACGGTATGTCACAATTTCATATCAAAATTAAATTAAAAATTAAAATAGGTTTTAACCAAATTAATTAGGGTTGATCCATTTTAATTTAACGATATATTGATGCAACAGGATTCTTAAATAGAATACAATGAACTATTATAGTTAATCATTGAAATTCGATATGGAGCTAGATCACACACATGCTTACAAATTGTGCTTTTAACACCATGTGGACGGTGCGACTCTGTGATGTTATGTGCGACGTATATGCATAAAGTTCCTCTCAAGAAGAGAGTAAATAATTGATACCTAATATTGTTAACATGCACATGAAATCTAGTTGTAATAGCTAGGAGTATTCACAATACAAAGGTTCAAAGAACGCATGTGGAAGGTGTGTGTAATCAGGTACAGATGATACTGTTCCACGCTTGTTAAAGTGTGAAGTTGATACGTAATAATGCGCACTTCCTGTTTTTTTTTTTTTTTTCAGAAGCCATCAGATTGAAGAGAATCGCCAGTCCGTATCGCGCGCTGGGTCGAAGTAAGGGTGGACAAAATGACAGCGGATGGCTACAACTAGAACAGCTACTCTCTACATCTTCAGTGTAGACAATACCCGTAAGTGCAAACAATAATTGCCTGTTCTTTCCATTACTTTTCTGTGTGGAGGTGGGTTAGAATACCTCCACCATAGCACTGCGAGTCGTAGAAGACAACGAAAGGGGACCCTGGTGCCTGGGGTTATAACCGGACAATCCTCTCACTGAAAGGGAATAAATATAGGGACCTGGTCCTCCATGCTGGATGTTGAACTAAGGCAGACGACCTTGCACCGTAAAGAATTATTGTTGCGAAATCCTAAGAAGAGAAATCCGGATGATGTGACTCAGAGAACAATTAGCCGGAAACGGAAAAATATGGCAGAATCTTCTAAGGAAAGCTATGGCTCAAAAAGGGATGATTTACCAGTGATGATGATGATTTGGAATTACTAAGTTTCAGGAGTTTTACAATCTTCCTCTATGCCGAAAGAACACAGTGTTGCAGAAGCTGGATATGTCTCCATTCTCATATTAAAGTATCGGGAGGCACTCAGTTGGGTCCATTAGAAGTAGCTAACCTCATTCACTGGGACACTGATGCTCTGTTCTTTCGCAATGCCAGACGATGGACGAAGCCCAGCATCAGTAATCCCAAGCTTAATATATCAATGCCAGAACTATTTACATTTTACTTAACAATAGTTACACACTGTCTCTCTCTCTCTCAAATGTGGTGTCAGATTATTTCTTGAACTATTTGTTATAAACGTACTAGTAGAACAGGAGATTTATGGCGAATCTCTTCAGTTTTGGCCTTTGACCGCACTGGCCTGTGCCCGGCCTGCCAGGCTGAGGTGTAGATCCCAATGGGGATACTCATTGCTCGGTATTATCCATTTCTCACCCGATTATAGGGTGATAGTGCAGGCGATGATTGATGGGGGAAAGTACAGCTTAACGTGGGAGCCTGGCATCTTCCACGTGCATAAGGGGTTTAGTTTGTTAGACTTGAGGAAACGACCGAACTGAATCCAGCCGCCCTGGATTTCAGGACCTGCAGCCGAGAGGCCATCGCTTTAAGCCGAGGCCAATTTCTCTCTGTAGACAAATTGTCGCGTTATGTGAAACAGTAAAATATATGTATTTCTCATTCTCATGTTGTGACATTTACTTCGTACGCGGCTCACTTGCCCTTTCAGCGCTGTTTGCTGTCATTTCTTCATGCTAGTTAATGTATGACACATACTTGGTTTGCTCCTGGGAGTCACCAACGTTAGCAGTTTGTCCTATTCCCTGTCATCAGCCACTGGGGCAGCTGTCTTGCTTGCCCAACCCGAATTCCGCCTTTATTTTAAGATAGAATTCAAGACCGCGCCATAGCTCAAGCAGTTAGTCGCTGGCTTCACACCGCGGCGGCCCGGGTTCGATACCGGGTCTGGTCAATTGGGATATGTGGTGGAAAAAGTAGTGCTGTGGCAGGTTTTCTTCGAGTACTTCGGTTTCCCCTGCCAATCTTCATTCCACCGATTGCTCCACAATCACCCTCACCTATCATCAGGGGCTGGTACAATAGACCAGAAGTGGCCGCAGTACAAGGGACTTGTTCCCATCCCACTAACAATAAAAGAAAATTGTATTCAGTGTTTGAAGGTCAATAGTCAAGCTCATTGTCGAACAGTCTGTAGGCGTTGTAAAGAGTGACGTGTTTTTTTCGCACAGCCTTTCTCCTTCATAGTACACCCATATCTGAGATCAGTATCCGTATTGCGTTCGCCTGTCATAGAATTATATGAGGCTGCATATCTTACCAAGCGTTAAAGAGTGTTTGGCGCGATAAGCAAGTAAATAATAGCAGTTTCAAGTATGGGTGTTATGAATATGGATGGTCCATAAACCTGAGGTAGCTCTAAACAAAATTGCTGGTAAACAATCAAACAGTCTATTTTTCTCTCCAGAGTCAGTAATTCATTCCTCCACTTTCACTTATTATTTATATTCGTCGCGCCACATCTCATTCACTTTGTGGCAGATACAAACTCCGTGGTTTTAGTTAGCAAGGGAACTATACCGACCGAGCGACCGCCACTTGTCGGCGAAGTTAGTGCCAACTTTAGCGGATAGAGGGTGTCTCGTGGTCCGCGCAACGAATACCCACAGCCGTTATTCTCGGTTTTCTAGACTGGATCCTCTATTTTCTGGAAATAGCTCCTCAGTTATCCTCACGAGGCTGGGTGGCCCCCGTTCCAGACCCACCATTTCTCAGAGAATCTGGGAGCGCCGGAAATCGAACCCGGACCTGTGGATCTGCAGCCAGGAACTCTGACCACCAGACCACAGAGGCGGTCAGTGGCAGATACAGCATTGTAAAATAATGAAGTAAAATAAATCGGCTTGTCATCTACAACTGAGCCTGTCAAGTGGCATATTCCCTGGACTCCAGTTTGCTCTTGCATGTCGGCATCAGTCCCAAGTTTGTACATGTAGTAACGTTAACATTTTACGAATTTTGTGTGTGGCTTGTCGGCTTTTCACAACATCTCTTTATAATGCGGTCTCACCCTATCGGTCCCTTGCACAAACTTACGTCGAGGCTACAGTGTGTCTGTGATGCATGTTATATATATCGTAGCTGTCTATTAGAGGCGAGTATGAGCAAAGGTTTATCCTGAGGTCGATATTTTTGTGTGTTTGTTGCTGCTACATTCTACGCAAAGTTGCTCCTATAAATTTATAATACAGCTGTACAATGGTTATGGTAGTATTTTCAGTTGACTTTATTCAATGCCTGACAAAACGTATGTAGATCATAACTGCGTGCTTCTTCAGGTTGGCGGAAAGAAATTAATCTTTTTGGAGACTAGTAGAGAAAGCTTAGGAGCATAGTGTAATCAGTATAAGGAGTAGCTACGGGCTGGAAGACCAAGGAGTCGGAGTTCGAGTCCCGGTAGGGCCAAACTATCTCTGGGGTCCACCCAATATCCTCTCCAATGGGTACCGTGGACACTCTCCTCGGGGCTAAAGCGGCCGTGGCATGAAGCTGAACAGTCACCACCAGCTAGTGCCGAGGTCAAGAAAATGTGGATTTATACATCCACTCCTCATACGCCTTTATGGCGTAGGGCTTAATTAGTTAAGCACAGGACAACTTTACCTTGCCTTTAAGTAAACTTCCCAGTTCCCAGTGGTGTGGATTAAGTTTTAGGTAGGTGGGTGAACAATACTAAAATGGATCTCAGAGAGATAGAATAGGGTGGCATGGATTGGATTGATTTGGCTCAGGATAGGGACAAGTGGAGGGACCTTACGAACACGGTAATGAAGCTTCGGGTTGCATAAAATGCTGGGAAGTTCTTGAGTAGCTGCACAATTGGCGGCTTCTCAAGAAGGCTCAGCTCCATAAGTGAGTGCCTTCTTATTTAATATATTAGTCTCTTTTTCTTAGGTCCTAACATCTGCCTCCGCGCTTTGTATTCAGTACTCTTTAACTAAGGGGGAGCAAGCAAGTTCTTTGATGTATATTCGTATTTTTTCCTGTATTAAACAAACAATAATCCGATTTTGTAATAGCAGCTCCAAGTTGTAAACATATTCTGGAAACCTATTAAAGCCACTACTTTGCCTATTGTGGTCCACAGAGATCATAAGCTACCAAGTTCAAGAATCACAGGTTTGTCCGCTGATTGGAGTGCTACAGTTCACTGTTATTTGATAAGCCCTAGCCGAAACACCGACATAATGAAGCCATCCATACATTAATTTCCCGTCAACAAGCATAGCAGAATGTTTAACTTGGAGACTACTAATTAGGACAATAACGTTATTCCTAAGCGAAATTAGCTGGTTATACTGTGAAATGCTCTGGTGTTTGTACGTACGTCTGGCAATTGAAGACGTGAAGTGAGCGAGTACTGCTTTCTGTTTAGAGAGGAACCAATTAAATTCGCCTGTTAATGCTTATAGAATTAGCTACTTTAGGGTGAACGTGATCCACTGTAAAATAATTCTATTTAGGAAAGGACTTCCAGTAATTACACAGTTTGGAAGCTTTTATCGTCCTGCCCACTTTCCGGAACCTATAAGGACGTGAACGTAATGGTTCCTATTTTTATATTGTCTTAAATATTGTTGCTTATTTTGAGAGAAGAGTATAAATTCCAACCGGTCACGGTATCCGAGCGGTCTAAGGCATGCACTGTCTTCTGTCGCTCGGAAGCAAGAAGCGTGGGTTCGAATCCCACACAGAGCATGCATGTTTAGTGTCTGCGTTTATTTCTTTCTGTGTTTGTGTACAGGTAGAGGCCTGGCGACGAGCTGATCAGCATAATTTGTATTGTTAGAAACACTATTCTTCATGTGGTGCCGACATGTAGATTACGTCATGTATGTCTTAATAGTTCAACTGAATACTGCAGAGCATAGGGGTTATACCGCCGGTCAGGGTAGCCGTGCTGTCTAAGGTATGTACTGTCTTCGCTCCCTCGGAAGCCGGGATCGTGGGTTCTAATCCCACTCAGAGAATGGATATTTAGTTTGTGTATGTGCGTTTTTCTGTGCTTGTGTACAGGTAGAGGCCTTGCGACGAGTTGATCACTCACCCAAGGAGTCCTACCGTATGTGTAAGATCTAGAAAAACCGAAAGTGAACGGAGAAGTTCATGGCGGTAGGCCTAGGCCCACTGGGGCTGTAGTGCCAAGGAAAAAAATAGGGGTTATACCAGGTAATATATCGGGATATTTGTGTTACTTTAACACCTATAGGATGCCTTGTACATGTTTTCATTTCCTCTAGAGCGAAAGTCATAAAAGAATTCAAAGATTATTGAAATTCTTTATTATTCATGTCATGTTTTCCTATTCTTCTTAACGGAATTACTTAATAGTTTTTCGTACCGCCTTAAAAAGGGAGTTTTACAGGTCTGAGTTTCGCATCAGTGGATGCTCACTTCTTTGAGTAAGAGCTGTTATATTAGCACATGAACAGTATCGAACTTGCTGTTATTTTTCCGAATTCCAACAAAATTTCGACAACAATTACTCTAGTTTTTAATGTTTGTTGTCAGTATTAGGCCCTATGATA